ATTCTAAATACTTAATGTCCCTGCGTTCTCGTCTACGATGTCCTATTTGCTTAAAATATTCCCTTCGTTTTTTTTCCCTAATCTCTTTGCCCCTAATTTGCATACAACTACACTGCCGTGCATACGAAAATCTTAAAATTTACTTAGCGGTCGAGTGAGGGTTGAAAGTGCATGTGCAGATCATTTTTTATGTCCTGTAAGTTGACATCATAAAGGACATCGTCTTATCGTTGGTGCCGTTCTTCGAGTTGACAGCCTCCGTCGCAAAAGTGACAATGTTGGGTTAATTCTAGCAGTTTTTTTTTCTGAACAGCACACATTTGCATAATAGACTGTGTGTGTGGCAGGACGATGCGTGTATGTACATATGTATGGCCGAAAGGATCACTAAGACTAGCGGTAAGCGCGGTTATGGGAACAAAGATCGCATTCAACTGTGAATAAAGGTGGCAGAATCAATATTTTTAGTAATTAATTATCAAATGTGATTGATGAAGAAGAAAAATAATGGGAATGAATGCATGTAAATGAGGTGCAGTTTGTATGTACATAGATAAATGCGATGCTATGTTAGCTATGTAAAAATTGTGCCTTTAGGAACTAAGTATGTATGGACATGTTATATACTAGGTAAATATTTAGGTGACATGACATACATATGTACGTATGTATGTGTTATATAGACGTTAATGTAGTAAATTCGATAAATAATTAAGAGAAATGGTTCTGAGTAAGAAATAGAGTAAAATAAGAAAAATCCCGAAATGTGATGAAAAAATGGCAAAGCCTCCGAAAAAATCCCGGAAATTCATTTCATTTCATTCTTCATTTAATCCGGAAAAAAATTGCCCAAAAAACGAAAGGTGCCGAAAACAATCCCGAAAAGCACGGCGAAAATCCCTATTGGTGCCGGAAAATTACGCAACTTCGATAACGATAAATATATCGATGATAAAAATGTATCGATATTTATGTTGATTAGTAAATCGATAACAATATTAATTATCTACAATATTGATTTCATAGATTGATACATCGATAATTCTAAAAGTACGGTTTTCACCATACACATATATCGATAATAATGTTTACAGATACATACATCTATATCCTAAATATGACTACATAACGATAACTCAAATGATAAATAGCTCGGTAACTATAATCTATCGTTAATGCATAATATCGATAGCAGTACATGAAAAGAAATATTTATGGTTTGTGCTTCGAGGACTAGTTTAGTCACGGTGAGATAGTCTTTCAAAAAACGTCAATGGAGATGATCCTCGACCTCCAGCCACTTCATATTACCTTAGAGCAGACAGCCAAGCACACTCTCCTGAATTTTGCAAAAGATGGCTTCGGTAGAGGTAAAGTCTTTTCGTACACAAAGACGGAATAAACAAGGCAGTCGTTTTCGAGGGGAGCTTCATAAAAGATCTCTACAGAAAAGCAGCCAGGAACAGCTCTCTTTTGACGGGACATGTACAGGCAGGCACTATGCAGTGGTACAAAGATAGCTCGAAAACGCCAGAAAGCGTTTATGGCCCATGTACAAAATTATCTGTGCCCATGTTAAAGTACCCGAGCATTTTTCAAGCGCAGGTCTTCGCAATCAATCTGTGTGCAGAGATTAACTTACGTAGAAACGATCGTAATGAGAGCATATCGTCGTTAAAAGTACAAAACCGCGTATGCTTATCCATTCGTCCTGAAATATACTAGCCATAGGTGCGATTGCTTTATAAAAAAGAGAACCATTTTGAAATATGAGTGTTTTTACTCCCTAGAAAATAATTTATGCAACCTCACATACGGGGTTTTGAATTATCTAGATATGCGGTTTTGTACTTTAAACGACGATATATATCCTTAGCGACAGTCAGGCGGCACTCAAGGCAATCCTGTTCTTTGAAGTCCTTGAGTATATTGAGACTCTAAATACCTCTTTAGCTACTTTGGGTATCAGGTCACAGGCGAGTGTAGGGAAATGAGACAGTGGACAGATTAGTTAGGAGAGTAGTAACCTCAACTTTCACAGGTCCCGAACCATACCTTGCAGTAGGTCCCAACACGATTAGGAAAGAGCTCAGAAAAGATACAATAAGAATGAGCTAACAGAATTGGCGAATAACTATTGGACTCTGCCAAGCCAAAATATAATAGGGGCGATACAACCAGAAGACCAGAAGGATTCTCATTGACCTGGCTTATAATAGAAACTCAAAACATGATTCCATAGGCTCGCAAAATATTTGTCTAAGCCCTGCCTAGTCTATTCGCATGGTCTATTAGCTGCTGCTATCAAGCTGAATGATGTTTTGACATAACCGGATTAAAGGGAGAGGGCTGTTAACTGCAAGAGTTTAAGGCAGCAAATGAAGAGGTGGTTGGTGTTGTACTAGTATATAAATTCCCTAAAGGTGGAGAATGTTGCAGTAGTGACAGCTTTTGGCTAGATATGGATCTGTGTGGTTACAGTTAGTAAAGCCGACTTTGGTGGTTATGGGGTGGCTTTAGAAGCGGGACATGTATTGGTTATGTTTTGATCGAGTGTATATAGCTGTATGGACAGTATACTACAGTATCCACACTAATGCGGCACAGATCTATCGGGATCTCGATGCAGCTAAAGTTTTTCATCTGCAATGGATGGTAATTGTCACGCGGTATATATCACTTATTGCTTGTATATCTGGATATCGTCCATCAGTTCGAGATGCCTACTGACGTCCCTACAAGATGGATCTGCGTGTGTGTTTCGATGTTTCGTTTGGTAGTAGCCGAGCAGGAACTGATTGCTGAGCATAAAATTGTGTTACGCTGCTGTGCGGAGTACCGTGTTCAAATAAGTCTGAAGCTTCGTACACAAATTCAAACTAGTCTCCAGTGACCAAACTGGAACAGAGGAATTTAGAACTACTAGGTATTATTTCTTCTTCTTCTTCTTTTTTGGCGCTGTAACCGCCTAAGCGATTTTGGCCGAGTTCAGCAAAGCACGCCAGTCGTTTCTCCTCTGTGCCAACTGACGCCAATTGGAAACGCCAAGTGAAGCCAAGTCCTTCTCCACCTGAATTTTCCATCGCAGTGGGGGCCTCCCTCTTCTTCTGCTACCACCAGCGGGTTCCGAGTTGAATACTTTCAGAGCTGGAGCGTCGGTGTCCATTCGAACGACATGACCAAGCCAGCGGAGCCGCTGTATTTTAATTCGCTGCACTATGTCCATATCGTTGTAAAGCTCATACAGCTCATCGTTCCATCGTCTGCGGTACTCGCCGTCGCCAACGCGTAAAGGCCCGTACATCTTCCGCAAAATCTTTCTCTCAAACACTCCAAGAGCCGCCTCATCGGATGTTGTCATTGTCCATGCTTCTGCGCCATATACCAGCAGGGGCATGATGAGTGACTTATAGAGCGTGGTTTTCGTACGTCGGGATAGGACTTTACTCCTGAATTGCCTACTCAGTCCAAAGTAGCACTTGTTGGCAAGAGTGATTCTACTTTGGATTTCAATGCTGACATTTATTGGATTAACGAGAACATAATAATAAAAATAATATTTTGTGGGTTTCATAAAAGAACTCTGCTGTTAAAATGTGGAATATTGCGGATCACATTTTCTTTGGCACTTAGCGTCTCTTTGAAATCGGTAATCGTTGAAATTGAGGGCAAATTGTGTGATACTGTGTTCTAACCCTGCACTTTGGTTCCGTGGACACTCGTTTTAGCTCACAAATCTCCAAGATACTAAACAGAAGGTAGAGCATTTAGGACAAAAATCCAGTGGTTCGTTACCAGAGGAATACTCCGTCAACATCAAGCACAAGTAGTCGCTTTTATTGTGTTGCGTTGTTTAAGTTGGTTCCCATATGCCTCCATAGCATAAGGTTACGCTCTTTCATCGCTATCATTTAGCTTTGGTAGAGGAGATGATCTTCGCAAAATGGAGATTTCTCGACTGCGTGCCACTAGTTTCTGTCGACCACACTATCGCTGCGTAATTTACCACCAACCGGGCTATCACAATGTATCTTACAAGCAGGGTCTCTATCAGCTCCTAAGGAGCTGCCGGATTTTGATCAAAACACTTTTCCTAATCCTATTATTTAATATCTATCGAACATGACTTCCTCAAACGTGGTATAGTTTTCTGTCGCTATTTTTGCGCTCGATATACATACATACATACACGTCGAGTTCTGGCCTAATCTCCTTAGCCTATGTGGTGAAGAGTGTGACGGTGGATTTCGTAGCAGAAATGCTTAGATTTATGGCTCTGAGGCATCGGAAAGATCGGAGAAATTTAGTAATTTGAAAAAACAAAAGAAATTCATTATTTTAAACTTGAATTTCGAATTCCCTCCACTTCCGTTAATTTTCGGAAACCTTGCATTTCTTAACTCACCACGAGTCCGAAAAAATGCATTTTTATAGTTTGGCAGCACTGAAAAAATCCAGCTGATAACGTAATTGACGGCAGCCAAAATATACAAAATAAAAACAACAAATAGACACGTAAGTAAAAAGAGCGTCTACTTTATTTTCATCACGAAAACACCAAAATATTAGTAATAAAAAGCAATTTAACCATAGAAGTTGAATTACAGTTGACGTGAGTGGTTGTGAATTATTAAAAGACAGAAAACATAAAAATTGCGCTTACGAAATTCCTCATTTAATTAGCATGTAAAGTGGAACACACAAACAAAAACAATACGCCTCTGTGCAAACGATTGCTACACCTGAACTTTCACTGCAATTTGTTTTACCAAAGGTCGTGTGGAGAAAGGGGATTTTTCATAGAGAACTACCGTGCGTCATTTGGTTTTTAATAATAATCTTAAATAAAACAAAGAACATACAATATAAGCCAATAAAGAGAAGAAACAGTCACCTGCAAAGGTGCAATACAAAAAGTACAATGTCTACTCAGCGACTTCTACGCCAGAGTGCGTGGTACTTGATGCTGACGTTGTGCGTCATATTGTGGGCACGTCATTGTAGCGGCTACTTTGCCGCCCACGATGAATTGGATCAGAACAAAAGTTGTTTCTGCGAGGTAATTACCTACCACATACAAACGAATTATGTATTTCATCATTACAATTTTCTAACTTTCCCTCATTCACCTGCAGCTTAAGGGTTCCATAAATGATTGCAGTTGCGCCGTGGACACCGTGGACCATTTCAATAACATCAAAATATATCCGCGTCTCAAGTCGCTGCTCGTAAAAAACTTCTTTCGCTTTTATAAAGTGAATTTGAAAAATTCATGTCCTTTCTGGGTGGATAACAGCAAATGTGCGATGCGTTTTTGCCAGGTGCAAAATTGTGATGAGAAGCACATTCCCAAAGGTCTAATCGAGGAAAGCGAAAATAAGGAACCAGCAGCATTTAAGGTAGACAAATAAAGTTGAAGGTTGGAATTTAGCTGGTGATGTTAGCGACACGACAGCCCGCACTTTTGCTAATGCCAACTACAAAAGTTATAAGCCAACTCAGCATTATAGTTAGGCTTATCGCCTATAGGCTTTCTTAAATACGTGTGCACATACATACATATGTATACTTTTCATTTTTCTATAGCTTGCCACGTTAAAGCATTAAGTTCGTTAGCAAAAGTAGTTAATTAAGCATATTTATAGGAACATACAGACGTACCTATTAATGTGGCATACGGTTGCTGATAGGCATTATCACTTGTGTCACTGGCTAGCATGTACATATGTGCATATATTTGGTTGATTACCCGTTTTGAGGGGCGGAAACCATTTATAAATTAAGTTCTTTATTCTTCAAAGCTGCCAGATTTGTCGCTATCAACATCAATAGAAAGGTACATATCGCACGTTTAATAATATACAGAAGTATTTCATAAAATTTAAATTTTGTGGGAACACGCATTCAAAGTTTGATCAATTCATATAGTTGGTATACAAAAAGACAGTTGAAAAGACCCATATCTTCGCCATTTTTGAGAAGTTTACATGTTCTACTTATCAAGCTTATTAACTGTATGTTGAAATCTCCAAAAACGTAAATTTTGAGTTACATCTCTATATTATCAAACGTGCGATATATTGCTGAACAATTTATAACACGCACATTTTATTTTTCAGTACACCAAAGAAGCCCAATCATCAGAATGCTCGGAGGCCGAGGACTACAATCGTGTTTTAAGCTACTTGGATACAAGCCTCAGCGATCAGGCGTATCGCGAATTTGAACGTTGGGCTAGACACGATGAAGCCGAAGAAGATTTCTGTATTTTAGAAGATCAACACAAGGGAGCTCAATATGTAGACTTACTTATAAATCCTGAGCGTTACACCGGCTATAGGGGAGAATCGGCGCATCGCATTTGGCGTAGCATTTATATGGAAAATTGCTTTGGCCGCAAAAATGAAACCAAAACGCTTTCCGATTTCATACCACATCTGGATTTGGATAAAGTATGTTTGGAGCAACGTGCCTTCTATCGTATCATATCCGGGCTGCACAGTAGCATTAATATACATTTATGTGCCAAATATTTACTCTCCGAATCAAAAGACTTTCTCGATCCTCAGGGGGTTTGGGGCCCAAATATTGAGGAATTCAAACGACGTTTCAGTCCGGAAACAACAAAGAACGAAGGACCACATTGGTTGAGAAATCTTTATTTCATTTATTTGGTAGAATTGCGCGCTTTGGCCAAAGCGGCGCCATATTTGCGACGAGAAGAATACTACACAGGCATTGCGGAGGAAGATGAGGAAGTGAAGTTGGCTATAAATGATCTCTTGTCGGTTGTGGAATCTTTTTCATCGCATTTCAATGAAAATGTGCTATTTTCGAATGGTGTAGCATCACTAAAATTCAAAAATGAGTACAAAGAGAAATTTCGAAATATATCTAGAATAATGGATTGCGTGGGTTGTGATAAGTGCCGACTTTGGGGAAAATTACAGGTAAATGCAAGCTAATATGTCCAACTTAATATAATTGTATTGAAATCTATTGTGTATTTCAAAGACACAAGGACTTGGTACAGCTTTAAAAATTCTCTACTCTGAGAAATTGAATGTAGCGACAGAGAATGGTCTGTGGGAACGGCCACATTTAGAGGCTAATCCACTCTTTAAGCTATCGCGTACAGAAATTGTGGCGCTCTTCAATGCATTTGGGAGGTGAGTAAAATTTTTGATGAGTAACCTAAATAAATATTAATCATAATTATGCCTCAACAGACTTTCAACAAGCATTTATGAGGTGGAAAACTTCCGAAAATTGCTGCGGTAATAGACGCCCGCATAGAATGCTTGCTTGCCGCTGCTACTGGTTTTTGTTAGACAATGCAGCAGACTGTAGTGATAGATAACTTTGTTGTAATTATAGTATTTATTTAGCTGGTATTTAGTAGCCTACATATATAGAGGCGCTTACAAATATTTCGTTAACAAAGCCTACGAAAGGTTCCTTCTCTTACCTCAAACAATCTGACATATTATTAGTGAGTTCGAGAGTTTTTGAAACAACTTAAACCTGTCCCTTTTTTTATTAACCTTAAGCAAATTTATTTATTATGAAATTGTTATTTTTTTGATTTGTTACTTAACTACTACTTCCTGTGTAATATTGCAATCATATTATCATATATTATGATCTAGCGAAATTGCTCGAGGCATCGGATTTTGGGCGTTGAAGGAGCATAAAAAGTTCTTTAAAGTGCAAGAGAGAGTAAAAAAACAATCATTCAATGTGGAAAATAGCTTTATGTATAATCTAAAGATTTTAAAATATTTATTGTGTAATATGTAAGTGCTCAAATTATTTATGTATGTAATTTTTGCATATAACAGGGATGGGCGTTCAAAGGCATTTTAAACAAAAATACATAGGTATTTGTAACTTTTAGTGATATGGTTTTTATAGTACGAGTATGTAATACGAAAAAAAATTTGTGAAAATATAAGTAGCACTACGTTGAAGTACATGGTAATGCAATTCTCTTTGCTCTCTAAAATATAAATATGCTACATATTTAATTTAAATTTTGTTAATGTTTTAACCAATTACATAACTTATTGAATGGTAGTAATATAAGTACGTTTGGTATTTTATATTTTTTAGCAATTACAAATATTTTATTTTCTTTATATTTTATTTTCTTTATATTTTATTTCCAAACTCATTACTTTACGATCAATTTTTTAAAGAACGGAAAGTGTGAATGAAAAAAAGCGTTTGTTCTGTATGACTATTGCAATTATTCATGATAAAAACATTGAATTATTTTTATCATGCAATTAACTACGCATATTAAGTTCGTTGTTGTTGTTGTTGTAGCGGCTACTAAGCGCCGTTCGGGGCGGTTCATCCATCAACGTTGTCGTCAATTTCAGCTAGGGGGAGGCCCAGGAAGTGTGCGACTTCCACAGGGGCTGTCCATAGGGACAGGGGCGTTAGCTGAGTGGGGTTCTCAGGGCATGTGAAGAGGTGCCGGGAGTCATGTGGCGACTCTCCATATGCCGGGCATTGGTTGGGCACATCCTCGTTGATTCTACTCAAGTAGGAGTTGAGCCTGCTGCAATAGCCAGAGCGAAGTTGGGCTATTGTAGTGCGGGTCTCCCGAGGCAGACAAAGTTCTGGGGGGCTACTCTGTAATGCGATGTGAAAGAGAAATGCGATGCGATAGGCAATCAACCCTGTGTATTACTGACGATGTGTCGGCGCGAATGCGAATCACTTGTTTTCGCATCGCATTACAAAGTAGCCCCCTTGTCCCGTCCACGTCCGGTGGTTGTGTGCCTAGAACGGCATTCACAGGGCGGGAGTCTACATAACTTGAGACTGATTCCCTGTGAATGCCGCTCAGGCCTGTCGGTAGGTTGACGGGTCCAGAGGTTGTTTGATGAGTCTCTGGACTTCGTCCGTCAGTTCGTAAAGATGCCTCCTGACGTGCCGTGGTGAGGGCTCTTCCGCGAGCAGCTGTCCGCTGGGATGGCCACGTCTGTGGCTCCCAGCAAGGAACTGCTTGCAGAGCATTATGTTATGCTCCTTTACTAGGAGCATCTGGGCCTCGTCATGTAGGTGGTGTTGGGTCATCCTGTCGCAGTTCGTAATGCCGTGTTTTGGCAGCTCTGTAGCTTCATCCACTGCGTCGTGCTAGTCCCCGGCGACCATACGGGCGCTGCATAGTTTAGAACCGGCCGGACAATTGCCTTGTATGTTGCCAACAACGTTTCTTTATCTTTGCCCCAAGTGCTGCCGGCCAGCGACTTGAGTACATTGTTGCGGCTCTGTACTTTGTTGACAATTGCGGTTGTATGCGCCGAGAAGGAGGGCAGACTGTCGAAGGAAACTCCGAGGATTTTCGGGTTATTTACCGTCGGTATTGTTACGCCATCGACGTGAATACCCAGTTGCAGTCTGACCTCCTTCGTCCAGGTGGTGAAAAGAGTTGCCGAGGATTTCGCAGGGGATAGGGCAAGGCTCCTTGCAGGGAAGAAGCGAGAAAGTTCGGCGAGGTAACCGTTTACTTTCGAGCACAAGTCATCAATTCCATTCCCAGACGCCATGATCGAACAATCGTCAGCATAGGAGACTATATTAACACCCTCTGGTGGCTGAGGAAGCTTTGAGATGTAATAATTAAACAGTAGCGGGGACAGGACACCACCCTGTGGTACCCCCTGTTTAATTTTACTTGCTTGGTTTGCTAGTTTTGTCTCTGAAAATTACTGACGAGTGTCGACCACTCAGGTAATTCGCCGACCACCGTTTGAGTCCCTGTGTTGAATGACTGACAGTGTCGAACGCCTTGGACAGGTCCAACGCTACTAGAATAGTTCTCTCACAGGGGCGGTTTCGGTTTAGGCCACGAGTTATCTGAGTGTTTATGGCGTTAAGTGCTGTTGTTGTGCTATGCACTTTACGGAACCCATGTTGATGCTTCGCTGGGGTCAAGTGGTTCGTAAAGTACGGGAGCAGCAGGGCCTCGAGTGTCTTCGCTACCGGGGAAAGGAGAGTTATCGGGCGATAAGACTCCTTTGTTGGCTGGTTTCTCCGGTTTGAGCAGTGGGACCACTCTCCCCATTTTCCAGATGTCTGGAATGACGAGAGTGGCCATGGACAGGTTGAGGACCTCCGTTAGGTACGCTACTCCCGCAGGACCCAAATTTTTCAGCATCAACATGCATATTCCGTCGGGTCCAATGGCTTTGGAGGCTTTCGCCTTCCCGATGGCTACCCTTACCACACCGCTGGCGAAAACAAGAGGCGCACTGGGTTTTGGCATTTTGTGCAGCCTTCTGGTCACTCGACGTTTGGCTTTATCCACCGGAGGATGCAGAATGAACTGCCGGCTAAAATAGCTCGCGCATCTCTCCGGGTCCGACGAAGCGTGGTCACCAAAGTCTATCTCGACTCTGTCGTCACGCTTCGTCGGGTTGGACAACGACCTCACGGTTGACAGAAGCTTGCTCACACCAGAAGCGAAGTTGCAGGTCTTCAAATGCTCTTCCCATTTCTTCCGCTTATGTGCGTTCTCAAGTTGCCGAAGCTCCGAATTGAGATCCCTAATAAGGGGATTTCCGGGATCGGCCTGACGAAGGTTGTCGCGCTCATCAGCTAGAACAGCCGCTTCGGCAGGAAAGTTCGGACGTGGATCCTTAATACATCCTGCTGGGATGAAGCGAGCTGCAGCAGCGGTGACAACCCTGCGGAACTTACGTTCACCTACATGAACGTCGGTTGGTATGGGTAGTGCAGTGAAGGTGCCTTCAGTAACATCCGTGAAGCCTTTCCAGTTTGCTTTGGAAAAGTTGACATAAGTCCGGTGATCCACGGAAGCAAAGTCGGCAGGTTTATCAATCGAGATGACTATGGGCAGATGGTCTGATGCTAGGGTCAGCATAGGTCGCCATGATACGCTGTTTATCAGACCAGCGCTGACAATTGTTAGATCTGGCGAGCTGCAGCAGCTGCCCATAATCCTGGCGGGTGCGTCGTCGTTCATTTTGTAGAATGTCGAATCGTCTATCTGCTCAGCCAGATGTATTCCCCTACGATCATTTGACTGGCTTGAGTGCCAAAGATCGTGGCGCGTTAAAGTCACGAACTACCATACGGTTTTCACCTCTGAGTAGCGCCCCTATTTCGGGGTGATATCCTGCCAGCTAGTGACTGGGGGTATGTATACGTTAAAGATTTCGAGCTCAATATCGCCTGACCGGATAGCAATACCCTGACATTCTAGGATGGTATCCCTGCGGTCGATTTCTGCTTCAATAAGACGATACTGCACGGTGTGGTGCGTGATGAACGCTAAACCTCCACCATTATCTCGCTCGCGATCTCGACGGTGCACGTTGTATCCGGCGCAATTCAACAGGGTTGAATTCCCGTGCAACTTCGTCTCTTGGACTGCAGCTATTAATATTTTATGCCTTCCCATAAAGACAGTTATCTCCTCGATCTTGCTCTGGAGTCCGTTACAGTTCAATTGTAGCACCTTTGTGTGCCTTGAGAGACCGATTATGATGTGTGGTGTTAAAGAGTTCTGTTGCCTGCCGGCCCCCTGCTGTACGTGCTGCAAAAGGGGGTGCTGCCTTGTGGTGGTAGTTGGCGGCGTCGCGGGGAAGGGATGCGACGGGGCAGAACAGCAGGGGCCCACATAGTCACTCGTCCAATCTCGCGTGTTGCGAAGTCCTGAGCACGCCCTAAAGTGGCACCAGCCGAGGCAAGAGTTGCACTTGACTGCCCTTGGTCGGGTAAAACCCGAGTCATCCCGGTACGTAGAACCGGCTGTCGTAGGCATGTATTAATGTAGGAATGCACCTTGCTCGTAGAACCGACCGCAACCAGTTCATCTCAGTCACCATCTAGATATGCTCTCTCCTGCCGTAACTGAGACGTTGCGAGTGTTGCATTGAATGGGTGACCGACAGTCGCCATTACATTATACTCAATTTTCTGGACATCAGACTTCCAAACTTCAAAGAATTAAAAAACGGGTCCAACAAAGTGGTATATCCTATGCCCACTTTTGTTTAATTTTTATTTGTCTAAACTTCTCCAACCAACCTTCAGAAGGGTTTTTCCTTCTTTCTTTGAGTATTATAACAAATACTGCAGAAGTGTAATGTATATGAAGGTAGATGAGAAATATCGGTTTAATAATATTGGAGATCGTTTCCGTGGAGCAAGTTCTTATTGCCCCTATCGTCGTTCGAGGCTAAGTGTGTTGGGAATCCCTTAGCAGTCCGTTCGTCTCTCGAGAACCATGAGGTTGCCATAGTAACTCCACTCCGCTATCAAATCGATTTAACAATTTATCACAAGACGCTAAGGAGAAGCAATTGCTTTGAGGCAAACATCACCACCAGTCGAAGGCAATATTTTAACAAAAGAAGTTGTAAGAAAATTGTTTTCCGGTGTTGATAAATTTTTGTTATAAAATTAAACTTTGAAATATTTGTCCTTTATAAATACATACATATGTAGATATTTTTACAATTCAACAGTTTTCGTATACAAAACGCATTTAGTTCCCCTTCCGCAACATAAATAATTATTAATAAACTCTACGGAAAAAAGCGAAAAATCTCAATTCCACCTACAATTCAAGCCAAAATGGTACTCTTGCATGTCAAGCGCGGCGACGAGAATCTATTCATTTACGAGACCAGCGTCGATGAAGGCACCACTCAAGTTATACGCGAAATTACCGCTATTTATAACGGTCGCCTAAAGGTTTATCGCATTTGCTCGGAAATTGAGGAGCTTATCGAACATGGCACCATGCTGCCGCCGGAAATGGTTGGCCTAACCGATGAGCAAGTACAAGAATTAAAATTGAGAGACATTTGGACTGAGAAGTGTATACCAGCAGGTGGTTTCATTGTCAATAAAGATCCACTTGGACGTCGTAATGGACATCAGCCGCAAGAAAGAATGCGTGAGATGTTGAAGCAGGCAATGGAAGATGCTAAGAAAATAATCGATAAGGTATGTACATAAACACACACACATACATACGTATGCGATTTGTAGCAATGAGTATGAATGCTAAAAATATCATTGATTTTAAATTTGACCAACAATCAAATGGCCTAGAAACTAGTGGCAGCGCGCCAACCGTTGAATTTGAAAAATATTGGTGAGGCTTTGAATTTGTTGCGCGGTGCCGTTACGATTGTCTATCCCATGCAATTGCCACCACA